TAATATAAAAAAGTTATATATGTAATTAATTGTATAATTTTTTGTAATAGTTGATAAAATCATATTATCAAAAAAGTTATTAATAAAAATCAAAAGACCAAAAAGGTTGCCTTAATATCAAAAAAAAATATATATATATTTTTAGTAATAAATAATACAAAATTATATAAATTAGTATAATATAAAATTATAAAATACTAGGAGTATGGTAACCTAGTAAAGTGGTCAGGTTGTCAACTTTCCAAGTAGTAGGTTGGGTGTTTAAATCCTATTGATAGCAAAAATTTGAATAATCATCTATATAATATTCATATTATGGCAACTATTATTAATAATTAGTTAGAATACCTGTAATGATAGTTGCATCAGTATGACTAGCAGATTATGAGCCATCTGTGCAATGTTGAAGTTATACAGAGGAATGTAAACCAACAAATTGGGTAGTACAAACACTAGATAAGTTCTTGTAGCTATATAAATCTGTTAAAATTAGATAATAAGAAGTTTATTTGAAAAGACCTAAGTAGAAAGGTAGCTAGATTTTTGACAGCTCTACTGTAAAGGCTAGCCTAATAAAACATATACTAAGGTCTAGTACACAGTCATAGTAGCTAAATAAGCAAGAACTTCTAAGTTTGGAGTCTTGAAAATACTACCAACCAAACCATCAGAATGAACCAGAAAAAAGAATATTAAGCTGACTTGATATACTGATGAATTAGTCATAGTTTTACATAGGCTATCTGAATTGAGAATTTAGTAAAAAGGCAAAGAAAAAGGCAGGAGTATACAAAAGTACTAAGGTTATGCTGTGAAATAGATGCTGAGGTTTAAATGAACTCTACAAGGGCATAGTGGTTTAATGATTAGCTCTAACCACAAGTGTTGGTTCTGCTATAGCAATATTTAAGTCAGCTATAAAAATAGATACAGAAAGCTCTAAGGAGTTTACCTTAAGGATAAATTAGTCCTAAGATTAAGACAATAATCTGGGCATTTGGATATAACCTAGTGAGTTAACACAGATTACAGGTTCAAAGAGTTTAAAGTAAAACACCCAAGCAGAGGTATTAGGTACAGCAATTAATAAAGAACCTTCAGATGGACTTCTTAAATAAGTAATATAGAAAAGTTATATATATAGCTAATTGTATGCTCTCTTGTAGTAGTTTATTGAACTACAATACTGATAAATAATTAATAAAAGTCAAAAGATCAAAGAAGTCACCTTAATATCAAAAAAATAAATAATTAAACTTATAAATCATATAATATAAAATATATTATTAAAAATAATGATCCTAGTGCAATAGTTGGGTTGTTATCCTTTAAGTAGCAGATCTAAGATTCAAATCCTACTAATAACAAAATTTAAAAATTATATTAGCATTATAATAACTGTCTTCTATCGATTGGTTGGTCTTATGCAGCTGTAACTCAGATATATCAAGTTGGATTCTACTGATATTAGGAGCTTGGAGCATCTATGTGAAGTGTAATATTATATATACATAAAAGAATGTATAATCAGTATTGTATAAGACTTCAGTGCAAACCTATAATAAGACCACTAAGTATAGAAAACTAAGAAACTGAGATAACAAAAACCTATTTAGAAATTTTTGAGTAAAGAGATAGTATAAACTTTCAATGATAACATCAGATCAGTTGAAGCTTATGAAATATCTTCATAGGAACTAAAAATTAAAATCAGATGTCAAATATGTATAGAAAAGCATATAACCAACCAAGCTGCCAGACTTATTAGAAGAAAAGAATACTGAAATATATTATACTGAAACATTTGGATTAGTAATCTAAAATAAGACTGCCAGTTCTGAGTTGTTGCTAATAGGAAATGATAGAAAAGATACTGAAAAGATAGGTACTAAGATTCTAGTGAACTTTACAAGGGTAGAAATAGTGTAATACAAGAATTAGATAACTATAACATATTGTATAAAATTAAGTCAGTATGTGTAAGATATAAAGGCTCTAGTAAGTTTTTTATTAAGGATAAAGTAGTTTTAAGAATACTAATTAGCATCAGAAACTTGAATAGATGTAGCTTTGAAGATGTTTTTGTGATACAAAAAAAATTGCATATGTAAAAGGTTTAAATAAACAAGACTTCTAATTGGCTTGCAAGTATGGCATCTAGTATAGAACTTATATAGCAATATATAAGTGAATTACTTAAATTAGGCATCAAAAGTGCATAAATGGCTAGTTGTAACCTCTAATATAAGGTAGCCTCTGGTGACATGCCATGCCTATATACTTGAATAAAAATATCACATTTCAAAGATAGGAACTTTAATATAAAAAAAATTTAAAGTATATTATTTTATTGAATTTTTTTTTTAAAATTTGTAAAACAAATAATTAATCTTTTAAAACTATTTAAAGAAATTACAAAACATATTTATGAATCAAATTATTTTATTTTAAATTTTATATACTCTTATTTTTGTATTTTAAAAAATAAGTTTGTTTTAATAAATAAAAAAATTGTTAAAATCTTGAATTGATTTTATTTATAACTTAGAAAAGTTAAATACTACTAATAAGTTAAATCTTAGTAGTAATAATGAAACTGATATACTATCAGCTGAAAATTAAAAACAATAGTAATATACACATTATTATAAAAATCAGATTATGTATAAAAAAATAAAAAAAATAAAAAAAAATAATTTCAATACAATTACAAAGCTAAAATATATTATTAATAAACTCCTAAGTTGCAAGTACTCAATTTAATATTAAAAAAAAACTATTTTATATATAATATATAATTAAAATTACAATAAAGATAATAGCTACTATAAACATTGACCCTAGCAAAAAAAAAAAAGTAAAAACTAATTTTATTAATTTAAGCATTTTATAATAAATAAAATATCTAGATAATTAATTTTTTTTTTTTTTTTTTTTGCTCTTAAGCAGCTACACTAGTACTTTATTAAGATTTTTGCAACTATATACAATAACTACATAGAATTTTCCTAATAACTAAGTTCAGCATCACCTAATCATCTTATTGGTACCTAAGTGCAACTTGCTGCACTACCTCAGTTAAAGGTAGACTGCTTATCTGACTACTTAAAACTATACCAGAAAGGATTTCTCTTTTTTAGAACAAGCATTAACTATCTTTAATCATTTCTTTAAATTTTTCCTTCTTTTCAAAAGGTCAAAAAAAAAGAGGTATTATAAAATTGAATACAAATAAGAAAATAACTAAAAAAAAACCAAAAGTAAATAAACAAAACTCAAATCAAAACAAAACAATAAAACAAATATGTAATAGTAAGAAAAAGAAAAAACAAAAAAAGGACCGAAGTCCTAGTCAGAGCAAATTGTAAAAATTATATTGTACTACTACTCCTAGTCTCTATTTTAGAAATAGGTCTATACTATATATAAATATCATTCAATGATAGAGATGTCAGTGTTTAATTTCTTTCTTACCAGTTCTATAGCCAACTCTTTCATTCTGATTAGAGTTATTCCTAGTTCCAGAAAAGGAATAATTCTTCTATTTCTAAAATAGATGATTTCTGTAGATCTTTCATAGGAGATATACTAAATTTTCATTTCTTGTAAAAACTTCTGTCAAAAACCAAGCAACAAATATGGTAATAATGTTCAGTTAGCAGGTATCCTTGAATTTCTAATAAATGTGTTAAAAACTTGCTTATTGTTTTCCTATAAGACCTACTATTTTAACTTCATTAATGAAAATCAAGACTTCTACTAAAATTTGTTATACAAGGATACCTTTTGCCAGTTATTTTGTATATGCTTGCTTTTAGTTTGCTTGCTAAATATATAAAAGAGTCTAGTATAGAAGAACCATTTTGATCTTTATAAAAACCGTTATTTATATAGTAGCCTCTTTTACTTTCTCCAATAAGTTTTCTGTTTTTGTTGATGTGAAATTCGGTACAAGTGATCATCAGGGAGAGTTCTTTTGAGATAATTAATTTATAAATAGTCAATAATAACTAAAAATATATATATTATAATATGCAATAATAATTAATAATAACTAATGTTTTGAATAATAAATTCTTATTATTTAATTGAATACGGGATATTTTTAGTAAACCAGTGGCCTTTGACACGTGATTCTACTATTATTATTATTATATGGAATACCCTGTATCCATTAAATAAATTGTAATATTTATCGTATCACAGATCATGGAACATATCAGTCGATCGATATGGTCTAAAAAATAATCCAATAAAAACATTGTAGCATACACCCAAATTTAAAATTTAATATATCAACTTATTTGACCAATAAGTAGCTGCAACCATTAGAACATGTCCTGTAACTGTTATAAAAGCGCTATTTCGGTCATCAAAAGCGCATAGAAGTATGAGTCCATCGCTTCTCTCTGAACAAATTTTATAAATATACCTAAATATATATATTAATTAGTTTAAGTTCTGATTGACATAAGTTAGCCAATGATATACCCGCACAAATAAGTTTTTTGCAAATCATAAAGCTCTAATATGTTGGTGATCTACCTATTAACTATGATCAATGATCAATGATCAATGGTTACGTACAGAAGCCAATCAAGTCGCAAAAAATGTGAAACAAATTTAAAAAGAAATATTTGAATGAAGCATCTCGAATTATAGAGAAATTTTCGATTCATTGCAAATATTAATCAAAAAAGTAAGGTAAAAATTTATCGTTGTATCGCAATAACGATACAAATCTTTTTGCCGTTTTTTTTCAATCAGCAAGTACATACTTCTGTTCAGAAGTTTTCTAGTACGTACAGGTTAAGCCACATGAAAATCGGCACGTGCATATCATTTATATTATTTATGTTGTGTTCGTTATAAAATAATTTCCGTGTTATTTTTTTTTAGTATTAATTTCGACCTTTAGTCAACTCGAGACTTTCTTTAGAATAACAACGATCAGCACGAAAGTAAAGACGGGCATTCAACTCTAAAAATCTCCAAATATAATGGCTCCCGAAACAAAGAGCCGTAAACCTGCAAGTAAGTGAAAGGAGCTATATTAAAATAGCATCCTGAATCAATTTGCGTTATTACACACCTATTTACTTTTGAACCTTAAATAGATACTGCCTTCAAACAACAACGGTTAAAAGCCTGGCAGCCAATTTTAACTCCAAAAACTGTCCTTCCAACGTTTTTTATTGTTGGGGTCATCTTTGCACCACTTGGTGGTCTACTTCTTTGGGCTAGTAATAGCGTAAGTCAGTGTTCCTAGTTGCTAAAGTGAATAATTGAATTAGTTACAGATATTTTATATATTATTTGTAGGTTACAGAACTAGCTATCGATTATACTTATTGTGATTCTAGAGGTATTTTTATAGCAAAATTAGAAATAATTTATAATATATTCATTCTCATAAATGTCATAATTCACATTACATTTTATATGCAAACATAGCTAGTGATTATCCTAATTTCACGAATGTGCCTTCAGATTTCATATCAGCAACATTCCCTCAAGTATCATCCCCTCAGCAATATATTTCAAAGGTTCAATGGGCGCGTGAGGTGGTGGTTCCAGACGAAGCAAAATATACTAATTCAAACATTTGGCGCTGTCATCTTCAATTCGTTATGCCCTCAGAATTAAAACCTCCATTGTTCATCTACTATCGTTTAACAAATTTTTATCAAAACCATCGAAGTTATGTCAAAAGTTTTAGCGCACCTCAGCTTAAGGGCGTAGCAGTTTCTGCAGACACTCTTAAGGATGGACCTTGCAAACCAATGGCAGTCTCTGACGATAATAAGGCCATTTATCCTTGCGGTCTAATTGCCAATTCTATATTTAATGGTAAATAACAGACCAAAACCATTATAAACCATTACGTTTGTCAGGACCCGGACAATATACAGCAAAAAGAGGCAGTGGAATATTTCAATTTTGTATAAAAAAATATATAATAATTTTATATCTAAATACAAAACTTTAAATTTGTGGATATAAAAATTATTATAAAATTTTTACATAAAATTGAAATGTTCCATTACCTCCTTTTGCTATGGGAGCCCCTATTTATAGATTTACATTTGCTTTAATATAACACTTTTATAAAGTTTTCTTAATAGTAATTATCCATATTTTACAATAAAGTTTTTAGACTATATTGGATAATAAAAAAATGGTATTTTTTTATTATTTTTTTTTTTACCAATTTATAAATATAACCTTTTATAATTATATAGATTTTATATACATTTTTTATTTTTCATTGCTAATAACCACTTTTCCAATATATTATTTGTTATAAATTGATCCAAATTTCAACATAACATCTATATTTGTTGTGCGGGTCCTTGTGTTCTTTGCTTGTGACAATGCAGGCATACAATCATGAGTCTTAATTATTGACAAATTATTATAATTAATGTTTACAATTTTTTAGATACGATTTCCAATCTTACACATATATCAAACCTCGATCAAAGTAGTGCGAACAACGAAACCTATGAATTTGTCAGCAAGGGAATTGCGTGGCCATCAGACAAACAAAAGTACGGTGCTACTACTTACCCCAACGATCAGATTCGCCCACCACCAGATTGGGCTAGCGCTTATCCCAACGGTACTTACACCGACTCTACACCTCCACCAGATCTATCTACAAATGAACTCTTTCAAGTTTGGATGCGTACAGCGGGTCTTCCTGATTTTAGGAAATTATATTCAAGAAATGACACCACTATATTACAAGCTGGAACGTATGAACTTTGGATTGATTATCGTGAGTAATAAAATATAAAATTTTGTTGTAAATATGTTTTATATTATTTTTTAATTAATATTGTTTGGTTATTAATTTTAGGATATCCTGTAACTCGATACGGTGGTACTAAGTCAGTTGTCTTATCCACCGTTTCGTTCCTTGGAGGCAAAAACTCTTTCTTGGGATTAGCTTATATCGCTGTTGGAATTGCATGTGTCGTGTTAGGAGCTATTTTCACTGCTAGACATTTGTATAAGCCAAGGTATGTTATGGATTTTTATGTGCCTATATACCATTTTGGAAGACCCAATCCATTGTGAATCTTTTTTTATTTTTTATTTTTTGAATAGAAAACTCGGTGATCACACTTATCTCTCGTGGAATAATACTCAAGCTCCAGGGACGCATCGTGAATAAGTTGGTTTGAAAGAACGAGTCCAAAGATCATTTAATTACTGAACCTTTACATAGATTATAGTAATTTTATTATGTTAGAATTTGGTTTTTTTTTTGTCTGTCACATGATATTCCATTAGTTCATTTTCTCGAGATTTTTTATTACATATACTTCATTATGTAAAATAATCTTTGTTGTACTATACAGTATTATAATTAAGAATATGTTACCTCATTATATTTATTGGGTGAAGTAAAAGCGAAAACGAGTTTTAAATTCTTATTGGCGTAATGGCTTTCATACATGCATTAAATTAATATTTTAGTATATTGATTATATTAATCTTTTACAATACAACAGATGCGTAAGTTGGTACTATGACAAAGTGTTAAATTACTATATATATCTTCTTTTTATAATATTTACAAATAGATAGCTTAAAAAAGTTTTACACAAATGCAACTAATTTTACTAACGCTAACTACTTTTATATCGCTTTATTCAAAAAGCAACAAACAATAAATAGTGAATCTAATTATATATCATGTGCAAACAAATAAACAAATGTCACAACTAATTATAACTAGGGTTGGGGGCACAGGAGAAAATTTAGGCATGCCCTCTCTTATTGTGTCCCCTTTATATGTATTAAGTATTATGCTGCTAGATCTAATTACTACAAGATTTATTTTAAAAATTATGTAATATATATGATTTAAAAAATTTAAAAATTATAGATAACTTTTATATTCTAATTGCAAAATTTTTGGGATATATTGTATCTTATTTTTAATTCTAAATCTTGAAATTTGATAGACTTATATATACAAAATGTTTTAGAGATATTCTTAAGGTAGCTGCTAGATCTTGTAACCAATCAGAATACTCCAATTATATATTATTAAGATTTATAATTACATGATACGGCCCATACCTACTAACAACCCCGATCACTATATCAAGTATTTAGCAAAAATACCCTGACCGTATGTGTACAAGCGGAAACGAAGTTCCCAACGGATCAGGGTATTGTTTATTACGTATACTGGATATGCTTGGGGTTGCACCTGGCCAAGATTAATGTTAAGCCCTTAAAATTAGATCTTACATACATCAAAGTAATTTGGGCAAGTACTACTATTAGGAATTGTTAATGAATGCTCCAGACTATGATAAAGCATATAATCTACTTTTGGAGTACTCCAGAGTGGGTTATATGTTTTATTATAGACTGGAGTACTCCATTAACAACCCTAACTACTACTTCAAGTACAACATACAGTATATACTATATCTTACAGATATCGATACTGTATATATGTCGATTCTTGCCTCAGGTGTCGGTGGCCTAAATTAGAGTTAAAGTTAGGGTAAGAATCAGGTTGTAGTTTAGGCCAATTTATCCGTGATAATTGACCAATCAATTTACATAATTTTTAAAAAATTTATCACTCTAATTTTAATAAAAAAAAAAAACTTTATATAAAAAACTTACAAATTACAAATATATACAAAATATTTTATTTCAAATGCATTTAGAGAATACGTAAAGTAGGTAAATATAATATTTATTACGAACTTATCAAAAAAAATCACATAATATAGCAATATATAAACCCCAAACTTTAAATTTACAGTTAATAGCCCAACACATTACAAAAACTAAATAGTTAGCAATAAAAATGTATTTTGAATCTAAGTAACAAAATAACTTAAGCAAAACCATTTTTAGTTATCTTACTCCATACGTAGTATAACTTTGCATGGTTTGTATTCCCTCAGTTTTAAGATTATGCCATATTGAGATTATTTTGTCATGGTAAATGTTGAATAAAACGCTAATAAACCCCCCGATTTAAGTAACCGTAAGAGTTATTTTCAGTTTAAATTAGTTAAAATAACTAGTAAAAATTCTGTTTTTGCGTATAAGCAAACTACGTTTTCCTATTTGATCTATAGAGATCTGAAAGTTTTAAACGATACTTCAGAACTTAAAGGATATCCTTGTAAAAAAATAAAAAAGAATTTTTGTATACGTATATTATAAGGCATGATCTACCAGCCAGTCCGATGATCTGGATCAACAACCAATTAAACCAAATTTCGAGGTGCTTCAGTTATCACTAAAGGCACAACATATATGTATACGTACTAAATTTTAGTAAATAAATTAAATAATATAAATAATATTAAAAAGGGAATTGATATTTCCACACCCTTTTTGGATAGATTAATGGTAGATTAGTGGAACAACCAAAATTCTCGGAATAGGCAAAAATTTATAACTCATACAGGGGATCCCCAAAATTCCGGGTCGGAATACTTCGGAATCATGATCGGCAGGGCCGGAATTAACTAATTTCGCCCAAGATCACTAAAAGTTTTACTAATGAAACCATAGCTCATTAAGTAAAGCTGCCCAGTGTTATACCTATTTCTTTATTGTTATTTTTCTCTTGCCATATTTAGTTAAAATATACTTAAACTATTATATTATTATATTTTTTTTCTTTATTTTGTGTTTTATTCTATTTCGGGTAAAATTTTGGAAGGGATTGACATGATGCATAATGGAAGGAATAGCTCTTAGCGGGAGCTAGAAGCTCCTAATAGGAGGGTAATACTTCTAGTAAGGGTTTATAACTCCTAGTAGGAGGGCGACGCTCCTATCAAGAGTTTAAAGCTTTGGCATAAATTAAAGTTATAAAAGGGGGGTGAGTTTTGCTAGTGGGAAAAAGAGCGTTAGTAGCTATTGGTATTTGTTTACAAATATACATGTCCTAAACATACTTCCCCTGTAACGAATGTATTAAAGAAAGACGTTAATAAAGAGAGACTATTACCTCACTAATAAAATTGTTATTTAATAATCTAATTTCCGATCCAACAATTTTGTTCACGATCGAAGCTAAACCGGATTAATTAAAGAAAGCTCTCCCATCGGTCGTAACACCAGCTGATAATTTTTGCCGAGAAATGGTTAACTTGTATTACTAAATGAGTTAAAAAAAACAGCTTAATGCCGACCTAGCTCCGGGCCTATTCCGACCCTAAATTTGGGTCGATCTGCTGAAGTTTGGTTGCCACACCCCTGCTAACTTTAAATTCTAGCCAAACCCCTAATAATCTATATTGAATTTTATTAACAGAGATGTGGCAATATTCAAAAGGGTGTAGAAAATATCAAGTTCCTGTTAAAAATTATAAATCTAATTACTGAATTAATATGTATATTATAGTTTAAAGTAAATGAACACCCTAAGTTGCATACCATGCAAAAAAACCGTGCCACATGGCAAGTCAAATTTTTACGTATGGTGTGCTAAAAAACACCTATCCGTGTTTCATACATTAATGTAAATTAAGGAATTTTCTAAGTTATTATTATTATTATACGTATATTAATATGTATACATGGCGACTAAATTGCAAAAACGTGATTAATTGACTACAATAAACGAATCAAAATATTTCACTTAACCTTAAATTTATTATAATTTTAAGTGAGCTTAACATGCTTAAGCATAAAGCATATCAGATTTGTTGAAGCATGATAACGATTTTTCGAGTCACTACAATGGGAAGGATTATATTTCACGTTTAAAGACATATCATTTTATAAAAAATATAATGACATACGTTTTCAACCTTTTATTCATGTTAAAATGCGAATTACATATTGCAATTATTTTAACATAAAATTTGTATAAACTTTTGTAGCATTGTTCATTTTAAACTTCTATAGCATTATTCATTTTAAACTTCTGTAACATTATTCATTTTAAACTTCTGTAGCATTATTCATTTGAAAAGTTAACTATGAAAAGTAAAAGTACAATCTTATGTCGTTATTACAAACTTTAAATTAATATAAAAAGATCAAAATTGACCTTGATATTTTTTTCAAATTAATCTATTTTTCAGTTCTCTTTATCTATTTACATATTATTCATCTATTCAGTTTTATTTTATTTTAATTTTATTTTATTATCTTTTAAAAATTTTTTTTTTAATTTTTAATATTTAAATAAATCAGATGCCTAACGGTAGTGGTCACGATGTTCGTTTGACAGAATTTGCTCAGCGTCCAGGTGAAGGTCGTTTGGGTAAATCAATACGCGTTCGCTCAAATTTCTTTGAAGTATTATCACTTCCTCAACAAAACATTATTCACTATGACGTCACCATAACTCCTGATGTGCCACCCGCTTTGAATAGAAAGATTTATGAAGTATTTGAAAAAGAGAATTTGGTCTCGGCTCTTCAAAATATTCGTGTTGTTTTTGATGGCAAGTTTGTAATTCATTAATGATACGTGATTTTATGCTGATGGAAACGCGTTTTATCTGAAATGATTATATGATCTTATCTTCTTTTCACATTTTATAAATGTAGGACGTAAAAACGTTTTCGCTTCTCGACTTTTACCATTTGGCGATGCGGCTACATTTGAAGTAAGTATTTTTTTGATTTTGATAATTGTAACCCTATTTTTTTTTTTTCTATTCTATTTGTCTATGATAGGTCTCGCTACCGGAAGATGATGGTACCACATCCGCTAGACGAGCTCCTAGAGCTTTCAGAATCAAAATGAAGAGAGCTGGCGAAATCATTATGAACGAACTGCGTCATTTCCTTGAAGGCCAAGGCGTACTCTCCCCAAACAGTTTGGCTGGTATAATATAGTCATAAATTTATCCTTTTAGTTTATTATAAATGACATAGTGACATGTACTTTTTTTTCACAGCAATCATGGCTCTTGACGTGCTTATTCGTCACCTTCCATCAATGAAAAATATTACCGTTGGCCGTTCGTTTTTTACAAGGTCAGGAACCACCGCTCTGACTGGAGGTGTCGAAGTTTGGCAAGGCTATTATCAATCAGCTCGTCCCACAAAAGGTATTTCTTAAATTTTTATGTTATCGAATGAAAATATATACATGATTTTTTTTAAACTATTTTAAAATATAGGGAAAATGTTAATTAACGTTGATTTGAGCGCGACCGTCTTCTATGAAGCAGGCTCATTAGTAACAATGGTTGTAAAGATATTAGGACGCCGTTCTGTTGACGATCTCCACAGAGGAATAACCGATAAAGATCGCTTCAAATTAGAAAAAGCTTTAAAGAACCTAAAGATTAGAGTTATTCATCGAGGCGAAGAAACATCTAAACGTCGGTTTAAAATAAATAAGGTCACACCCACCCCTGCAAGTCAAACCAGATTCGATATGGGTGATGGTCAGACTGTGGACGTCGCAGCTTATTTTTTTAGAACTTACAATCATAAATTAACTTATCCGCATCTTCCATGCGTTGTTGTGAAAAAAGATGTTTTTCTCCCTTTGGAAGTTTGTGAAGTTATTGAGGGTCAACGTTATACCCGCAAGCTCAGCGAAAAACAAACTGCTGATATGATTAGATTTACTTGTCAGCCCCCTCATATGCGTGCTAATAAAATTAAACAAGGTATCGAAATTCTTAACTATCGCGGTAACGAATATCTCCAACAATTTGGTGTGACTGTTTCTAATGATATGATTATGGTAATATATATATATATATATATTTGTTCTTTCAATCAATACTTACAACTGTAAGATAACATATAATATCTATTTTGTAGGCACCTGCGCGTGTTATTCCTACACCCACACTTCAATACCATCCTTCTTCCCGTGAAGCGATAATCGTTCCACGTGAGGGTTCTTGGAATTTGAAAGACAAAAAAGTTGCTCAAGGAGCTACGCTTGGTTCGTGGTCGGTAATCACCTTTGGAACTGATCATGAATTTCCTCTTCAATCTGTTCAAGCATTTTTACGTGAACTAATTCTCACATGTCAAGATAATGGAATGGTATGTATAATTCTCACTAGATAAATTTTCAGTTAATAATTAATTTATTAACTTTATATACGTACATACATATATATCTATATTTATATATAAAAAGAACATTCCAAATAAAACACCACCAATTATGCATGCCAATCCACAAGGTGACGTCGAATCCGCTCTTAAAACAGCATGGCTTCGCGCCGGTAACGCGGCTAAGGCACAACCACAACTTATCGTATGTATTCTTCCAAACACTGGAGTCCCTCTCTACGCGGAGATAAAGCGTGTTACCGATACCGTGATCGGAATTGCCAGCCAATGTATACAAAGTCGACACATGATGCAAGCTAAGAAGCAATATTGCGCGAATGTTTGTCTTAAAATTAATGTCAAGCTCGGCGGTATGAACGTTTTTATTAGCCCTACACAAATTCCTTTTATTACCGATCGTCCGACAATTCTTATGGGCGCTGATATCTCCCATCCTTCACCTGGTAAATATATATCTTTAAATTGAATATTTTTATATTGGACTTGTTGATATTAATGAGTCTTCATTCATTTTTATTACTAATTAGGTGATCGTGCCCGTCCATCTGTTGCCGCTATTTGTGCATCTTTAGATGCTAAAGCATCTCGTTACTCTGCAGCAATTCGTGTTCAAATGGGACGTACTGAAATAATTGCTGATTTAGCAAATATGGTCAAAGACCTGTTAAGAAACTTTTATCAAACCTGTGGTAGAAAACCAGAACGAATTCTCTTTTATCGAGATGGTGTCTCTGAAGGGCAGTTCGCTCAGGTTCTCGAGGGAGAAATTAACGCAGTCAGAGGTAAAACCTTTTTATATATTTCCATTGTTTTTTTTAAAAAATGTATATATCCATTTATTTACATTTTTATTTATACTATTCATATAATAGCTGCATGTTCATCACTTAACGAATCATATAAGCCAACCATTACTTTTGTTGTGGTCCAAAAACGTCACCGCACGCGTCTCTTCCCTATGGACAAAAAAGACGCAGATAGAACTGGCAATTGTCTTCCTGGCACGGTGGTTGAATCAGTGATCACACATCCATTTGAATTCGATTTTTGTAAGTAATTTATCGATTATTGTAATAATTAATATTTGTTTATTGAAAATATATTATTTTTATAATTTAATAGATTTGCAAAGTCACGCGGGGTTGCAAGGAACATCACGTCCAACACATTACCACGTTTTATATGATGAAAATAGTTTCACCACTGACGGGTAGGTCACTTTTTCTAATTGCTATCAATTAACTTTATTTTTAATCTTAACTTTGCTTGTTTGAACGTGTTTTTCAGCCTTCAAGCGTTATCTTATAACTTGTGCTATATTTACGCACGTTGTACTCGAGCTGTGTCTTTAATTCCACCAGTCTATTACGCGCATATCGTTTGTAGACGTGCAAGATTCCATTCCCGTGGAGAGCAATGGAGTGATACTGAATCTATGGAAGAAATTCCGGGACAAGTTTCTACTTTTGGTGTTGTAAAACCTGAATTGGTTAGAGTATGTATATTTTATTTTTATACTTTATTCTTCTCTTTGAATGTTAATATTCTAATCTTTTTTTTTTATTCTTCCAGACTATGTATTTTATGTAGGGAGTACAAACTTTTAGATATATTCTCTAAATTTTTCTTAGGCCCTTTTTTGCATGTAGAATATGACTAATTTTTTTTCGCATAAGTGTAAAGTAATATAATGTCTAAATTATGTACTTTGTATTATGTAATTTTCGTATAAATCACAAAGATGTTGATTTATGCTCTTGTATTTTAGATTAGGTTTTTTTTTTTATCGCAAATGTTGTTCTTTTTAAGATTTTTCATATAATATATATTTTATATTAGAATAGAAATGATAGTTGTAACTTTATAAGACAATTATACAAATTAGAGCATCTAAAACAATGCTTTTTTCTTAACGTATTCAATAAAAAAAAAAGTCTGTGTTATATAAACTTATTAAAAAACTTCTTTCTATAAACACTTAGTATTTACAATATATTAAGTTTGTGGATAAGATAATTTAGTGCTGTAGTTAGTATTGGTTAGGATTAGACGTTGATAAAACAGACTTATAAATAATTATCATAAATTGTGTGACAGGTAAGCGAATAATTCGATTTAATTATGAATAAAAATTTTGTTCGAATAACGATAATTAGTAAATTTTGGTTAATCCGGTCGCCTTTATACGTATTAGAAATTCAATACTGAATCTACGATAGTATGACAAACACTTTTTTTTTACTTAACTTTTATTAAAATTTATTATTTCTCAATATAAAATATTAAAAAAAATGTTGTACATTATCAAATAAAATAAAGATTGTTGCAAAAAGATTTAAATATTCCGGGTTAAAGACGAAGTTACTTATATTCTAATGTTTAAATAAAGTATTCATCATAAAATTTAGTTCTAAAATTGAAGTGGTTGCTTTTTAATATTATTCAAAAAAAGTAAATGAGAGAAGGCTTGCTTATAATAGGGCGATCACCTATCATATAATAAGAAAAAAAATTTTTTTAATAAATAATCAATTATTAATCAATTATCTTGTAAATACTCACGAACATAATTTATTTCTTGTAGTGTTTTGAACTTTGAATTACTTGTAAGATCTCTAATGTTTGCAACTTCGACGACCAATATAGGAGTGAATGGATCACCCAACGCATTCAATTAGTGGTGTATACTGTCACAGGCAAAGTTTATATTAACAGTAAATGAAAATTTTAGACAACTTGTCAGAGGAGTAAGAAGAATACAACTTTTTTACAATTACATCAGTACTGGGCGCAAAGGACTTTTATTAATCAACAGATTATTTTCACTGCCAATATTTTAAGGATTTTCCTTAAAGACCAGGGTCTTAAAAGACTAATCAGATTCTATTTTACTTAATTACACCCTTTAAGCTTATAATTCTTTCTTTTTACTTTGCTTAACCTAATTATTTTTTTTCTACTTTCACTGCCTTGCATACTTTTACTACTCTATTTCAACGTTCGAATGTTCATGACTTCTCGAAGCCACAATCTTTACGATCACAAGATCAAATTTCAGAAATCTCAATTTTAACCTGTAACAATACTTTTATGTGTAAAAGAAATATCTGGTGTCCTAATTGACCAACTAGGATAACATTCAATCAAAGTTCACTAAAACAAATTCTTTCGTGTAAACACGTAGCATTAGAGACAGGATTCATATTCATTCGTATTCGTATTTATGCAATAAAATCTCATGAGGAATTGAGATTTTCTGAATTTTGGTTACTATCTTTAACACCAAAGTTGAATTTCTTTTGTGGGGAAGTGACACCAACACATTGATGAATTTGAATATTTCAATTACCAAAATTGAATCATCTATTTTTTTGAAATAAAATACAGTTAAGATCTAAGCTATAAGATTTATTTTTAATAAGATTTATTTTTTGGAAAAATATATATTACGTCGCGACGCGTATGTTTATTTGTGTCAGTGGTACGAACCCAAATAAGGAAATTTTCTGATGTAGATCGCAAGATCGGGTGTAATATCGATATGAAAATGAACATTCTAATAAAAGAAATTCCTCGTAAAATTTTAAGCCTTACACTAACCCCAATCCTAATCCTAACGCTGTGACTTTCACGCGTTCTTTGCGCAAATAAAAAATATATATTAGTTGCTTTCTTTTTTTGGGGGTTTGTATCACTGGCACAAATAAGTAAAAAAAAAAAAAAACGGTTGTAGCTTAAAATTTTGTCTATGAAAGTGCCTTCTACATACTAACAAAAAGTTTAACCTACCGATGAGACCTAATCCTGGACTAATTACGAACCAATTTTTTTAATAAAACCACATAATTGACGAAATTTTTAGGGTGGCGATGGGCGATGCTAAACAGGCTAAGCTAGCCAAAGTAATATGATCGACTGGATAATGCGGCTTAAGGTCACATGATTGTAAATAGTATAATTTAGGCCAGAGCGCATGATGTCGGGAGGAATTAAAGAACATAAAAGACGAGCAAGGTTGTGAAAAAAATTAAGTAAACTTATGATAATTACCAAATGCAAAAAAAATTGACAAATTAGAGGATTGGTCTTAACCGGTTAGCTAATAATTTTATCGGCTGGCTTAGCCAGCCGATAAAAACTTTGTGGTTTGTAACATTACCATCAATCATCGTATGATCGCATGATGCAAATTGGTTAATATTCCTTGAAGTTGAGTACTGTATTCAAGACATGGCTCTTACATTTCATCAATTTTAAAACTTATAACTGTATAAATAGGATAGCAAAAATCTGGGGTCGTGGCCCACGCAGGGACCCGTAAAATTTTAGATTTAAAATTTTTAAAATTTTAAGCATCAACGCAAATTTTCTAAAATTTTTAATTAACTTCTAAGACGTACAGTATATTGTTAGTTTGTATTGGATATTGATACCACATAAATTGATGTGACTTAGTACGATTGGATTCCTAATGGTTTTTATATTTGGTCAAGATTGCAATAAATTAAATTAAACCTTGTATTCTTCTTATAATAACATTCTTCAAAACAATTGGCAAAATTTAAGTACTGAATCATTAAAAATGTTTACAATGTTATATTTCAACAAAGCAGAAGGATGAATTTATTAATTTTTTTAAAAAATTTAACTAAAATTTATTACCGAAAATAAGCAACCATTTTTGATAGAAAAATTACACGAAAGTTTCTCAAAATGCGTATTTTTCAAATTTTCGAATTTTTTGAAAAATTAAAATATCTCCATGAATATTTATCAAAATTGCACGAAACTTTTTGAACATACGTATGCTTATGTTCTGAACAACATTATTTAGAAGCTCAAAGCTACGTTCGTTAGGATATTTACTTATACGTGATATGAGTTTACTTAGTAAAACTTTGACTTTTATATGTAGAAACTGGTTTTAATTTTTGCAAAAAATTTAAATCAAAATTCATCTTAAATTTAAACTAAATTTTGCCCAAATTTTTTGTTGTTAAATTTTTACGGGTCCCAGAACCCACGTACTAAGTAAAGCTGTCCGATGATAATTTTGTTGTAATATAGTTGTCTGGTATTATTGCTTCATGCCGACCTAATTCAGACCTAATCCTGATCGAAAGACCCATTTGGGTACCCCCGTGCAAAATTATAAGACTAGTATCACCAGGCAAAAAAATTTCGCAAATCATATGATCATATAGCATTTTCTAACATTAACATATCAAAAAAAATTTTCGCTATTAGTTTAGGGTTAGGGTCCTACTAGTAGGTTAGCGTTTGGTTTAGAGGGTTATGGGTATAGTAAAATTTCATGAGGAAAACTTTTTCTTAATACGCAGAAGGCACTTTCATAAGCAAAATTTTAAGCTATAGGCGTTTTTTTGTTATTTTGATTCTTTTGCGCTTCCTTTGCGTTACACAAGATCTTGAAATCTGATTGGTTGCGAAATTTTTTAGACTGGTGATTTTAGGGCTGTTGTGCAAAATACCCTGGCTCAAAACATAAGATCTTTATTAATTAAATAAATGCTTCTAGACTGCTTATTGTAAATGCGGAATATGTATGTATGTGCTTGAAAATTTTCTTCCTCGCAATACGGACCCGCCACAGCATAATATATCCGGGTTTTTTGGTCAGTGCTCTACGGTAATTGTCATAATTTATCAAAGAATCGAATTTTTTCATAGATCATGGTGCATGTTATATATTTTGATTTTTAGCCTCTCTAGTCCCATCACTAATAATGATCCCGGTTCATTTCACCGACAAGTTTTTTTTTATAATTTACACTAACCTTAACTCTAATTCTAACCTGACACTATATGGATTAGAGATATGCTTCGTGCGAAATAAACCTAGCATATAATATGGGGTGTGATCTATTAAAACAGCCCATTTTTACATATAAACAATTTTGAGTAAATCGATTTTAAATAATGATCTACAATTAATAATTTATATAAAATATTCAACTTAAAGTTCATTTAGTGAATCTTTTTATTATATAATTGGCTTTGGTAACTTATAACAAACTTTTTTGTTGAATATATATCTATTCAAAAATCAAATAAAAAAATTTTTCGAAAAATTGTAAAAATGGGCTGTTTTAATAGATCACACCCCATATGATCTCGCGCGAGATGTAAAATGGCTTCATACAGGGTAGAATTTAAAACTATGCATATTATAGATTTTTCTTATCGAAATTTTATCTCGCGCGAGATATAATGGTATGGATTTAATATCACGCAAAGGCGCATCTCTAATATCGATTTTTAGAACTATGCGACTGATATAATACTCGGGTACTATTGTGCACTGTCGATAATTACTATGCAAAAGAATCTCAAAAAAAGATCTCATTCCTGACGGACTTTGGTTGTGTTAAAATAAAAATTTTATTTTCTGTTTAATTTAAATAGATACAGCCTCCTTAGCAGCAGTAGTAAAATATTAATGTTCACTGTAAATTATTTATGTATTGTAGATATGTTCATCGTTTTATTAGTAAGAAATACTATATATTGTTTTCATTTTACGCGTATCTAAATATTTTCTAGTACGCAGTATTGATAATTTATTGTATCGAGATTTTAAATGTTTTATTAATGAAAAAAAAAAGTAATATAACCGAAATAACGGGTACTTGGTAACCTTTTTTTGTTAATACGGTCAACTCTCTATAATTGCAATTTATTGGGACCAGACTTTTAGCAGCATACAATTAAGAAATATTGCATTTATAGAGACCAAACATACTGCATACTTGAAGTTGTATTTGGAGAGTTACACTTAGAGAGTTTATTGTAATAGATTGTCTTCCTATTATAAGATGCTTTCTCTGTTCTTATTTCTTTTTGGAATTCTATATCATTAATAAAATTAGAAAATGAATAACTTTACACTTCAGCCCAGAAATCTTTAACTTTTTTTTGGAATGGTGTTATTTTTATCAGAGATTTTTTATTTTGGTCAGTTCTGTATATTTTATAAAACATAAATGTTTAAGTGGTAAGTTATAGCTTTTTTAAGGAATTTGGATATATACTTTTGTTTTGAATGTTTAATATATATGATTTTTAAAAGTTTTGTCGGAATATAATCACATTAACTTTATAATAAAATAACATTAGTATGAAATAACGGATATTAACGCTAAATTACCAAGATCTTTTACGATTTCACACTCAAATGCGTATAATCAGTGCAGCACTGAACTTCCGAACGAAACATATTGGATCTTATTGACTTGCCAACTTTAAAGTAAAACTATATTATGCGTAAAAGTAGAGCTTCTAAGCTCAGATGGAAAATAGGCTCAAGATAACCACAATGTAAATGTCCAATACAAAAATTTACTCGGATAAGCCACTAAACGAATAAATTCTTTAAGTTAATGCAACAGCTGATTCATCATATCCTTTAAACCTTCACTAGATACCAAGGAATGCACTGGATTAATTAAATGTGGCATCAGTGATGTGGAATGACATTTGGATAACTTGAAAAAGGGAAGTGCAAATATAATTAGGAACAGAATTAATATGGATTCGGAATTTATTCAATTAGAATTTTGATGTAGAATTGATTTTATATAAATCTATACTCTCATCTTAAACAATCTCAAATCCACTTGAATTTCATTCAACTTACAAGTTACATATATATTATCTATTCAAAGTATTATATACATAGGACTTTTTTTTTATTTACAAATTAATTAGATTCTTTTTGAATAAAACTCATACGTATGAATTGTCATTAGTGCTTATTGCCTTGATTGATCCGCCAATACATATTAAAAATTCTACCATCCAAAAGCGTTATCACATGGGGATCCTGTGATTGAATTTCAGATCATCTCATCAATGCGATCAAAAATTCTAAAAAATCGGCTGATATGTTTTTGTTAATATATGGATATTTTAAAGCCATTCTACCAAATTTAACATTGAACTCTCGCTCACATGATTGGTTATCCCATTAAAATTAGGGATACATCATCGTTATGGTAAGTAATAACGATAAATTGAGAGGTATCTAAAATGCGATTATCTAATAGATTGTTCGAAAATAGCTGTTAGTAACACAGAAAAAAAGATTAACAGAACAAATCTATGAATCAGGCGTCAAAAAAAAAATCTACATACAAATTCGAAAAATCTTGTCTTAATAATTGTCTCCTGATAAATCAAACCTTCAAACATAATGTACAAGCGATTCCTCCGCACTCTATAAGGAAAAATGAAAGTCAAAGACCGCATATTTCGGATACACAGCTATAACGATAAAAAAAAAAAGTTTAATTTGTGTCATGTCATATGGTATCACTCTCTCAATTAGCGTTAGAACTTATCATTTATTGCAGTTTGGATGATGTTCTTGGCATCTTACCTATAGTGAAAATTTCTCAGGTTAATCGTGGAAGCCCACAAGTTAATCCTGAAACTAAAAACAGTGATCAACAATGACATTTAGATTACGGATTAGCATCCAGAAATCCTGACGTAAACTTGATTAAGCACATGTAGAAGAATACTGTGTGACAAAAAAAAAATTCAAAATCTGTTAAACTCGACTGCCTAATTAAGTGTGGCAAATAAATATTAACATTTGCTTACCAAAGGTATGCTTAGTAATGTTTATAACTTTAAAAGTAAGTTTTTAAATTTCATACGTATCAATATTGTAAAACTTACGAAAGAATTATGTCCCTAATTTTATATATATGCCTACTTATATGACACTATATAATTAATATAATATCATATTTTCGTCGCATGAACGTTAATGAGACTTTGTGATATATCTGTTAACAGATGACTCATTTCAAATTAAATAATAGGATTAAAGGAACATCGTAATAGAATTAAAGGGATATATTATAGTGCATGGTGCATCAATGATGCATATCTCCTGATCCAGCGGATGATTTCGAACCTTGATTTGTCATTAACGAATGGTACAAAATCATCCACTAAATCACTAAATCGTCATTGAAATAAAAAAAAAAGTTCTGGAATGAAATAATCTTAACATGCATAAAAACGAGTTTTCGTAACTATGTACAACGACAATTTCTTAATGGATTTACGTAATACATTTTTACGCCAAGGGATAAGTCAAAAACGTATACATAGCATGAAATTCTATTAATGAAAAAGTTGTCCGAACTTCAGTTTTAACCCGTTTTAAACATGTTACAACCATCTATTGCCAAAATGCCAAATATCGATATATTGAATCCATATCAGGATAAAAAAAAAAAAACTATTATTTAAATTTTTAAGTTATTTAAACACATGCAACTGTTTCATCTTCTGGGCTTAGGTAAAATAACTTTGATCTTGATATTACGAGATAAGAACAGCTTCTAAGATATACGTAGTTTTGTAGTATATATATATTATAGTTTTTTTTTTCATTTTATAAAAAATATATACAATTGTATATTTCTAAAAATCTTTTTTCGCTAAACAAAATAAAAACAACACCAAATAAATATGTTTTTAATTATTATATATAATATATATTCATTATTATTGTTTTTAGTAAGATAATCTATTTGATTAAAAGTGATACGTACAGTATTTCTTATAAATTTAGGTTACGTATTAAAAATGAAAAAAAGTACAATTAATAATATCGATATATAAAATTTTATAATTGCTTAAATATATAATTTGTATAAACTTATTATATCTATAACTAATTTTATAAAACTAGTCTATAACTAATTTTTATGAAACTAGAATTATTACTATATTACAAAAGAAAATTGTATATTAATAATTAATCGATTTATAGGTTTGTCTATTTGTTTTATCAAAAAATTTAATAATTAGTTAATTTTAATTTGTTTATACAATATATATAGTATGTGATTATTTAAATTATTATTATTATTATTATTTTTTGGTGTTAAGGTGATTATTTAAATTATATAACTAATTATTTTGTAAATTCATTTATATTTTATAAATATATATAATTACTTTTATAAAACATCAAATATTTAATACTGTAATATATATATAGTACGTATATATTTTTTTAATATTAAAATAAGGTATAAAAAAATAAAACATTTAGACTTAGACTTATTTAAATTTGTATAATTAAAACAAAATAAAAAATATTTATATTAGCTTTATGTTTTATAACTTAGTAGTTAAGTGTTTAAACTTTTATAAATAAAATTAATAATTTGAATTAAACTAAAAAACCAAAATACTTTATAACTAAAAAAAAATTATAATTACAATATATTAATATTCTTGAATTAATTTGTAAAATACTTGTTTAAAAAATAATTTAATAGTAATATATATAACTAAAATAATAAAAAAAACAGTAAATACAACAAAAATTTATTAATTATTAAAATTAAAAATATTTTTAGTATATACAAAATAAAAATATTAATTAAAGATATTTATATAAAATTTTATAACAAAAAATTAAAACTTACTAATTGTTTAAAGTATAATAAAAGATTTATATATTTTGTATATTAATAATCAAAATTACATTTTTAATATATATATATTTTTTAAATATTAAAATAAGTACTTGTGATTTAGAATTTTATTGATAATATATTTGGTTAATGATTGCATTATAATTACAGAAGGCAACTATAAAAAGAGTATATAACTAGTCACTTATACAACTTTAGTTATTGTTTAATTTAAGTAGTTCACCCAAAGGTTCTATACTTGTTGCCATACTTGAAACCTGATTGTAAGTTTCTTATTTAAACATTTTAGTTCTTATATCTACTTATCTATCTTTGCTTACCAATGATCCTAGCTAATGCTAGTAAAAATATGCTATAATTATTAAGTTTTTAAAGCAGTTTACTCATATGAAAACCTTTAATCTTGTACTAAATCTTTTAAAATCTTCTGTATTTTATTCTTACAACTAACTTAATATTGCTATGATTGAGACCAATACTTGCAATTAGAATATACTATTAAACTGCTATATTCTTGTAGAATTTATATCAATTTTAGTACTGGTTTCACAATATATTTCTACTATTTTGATATTTAATTCAATTAATATATTTTAACTAAAATATAAATAATATAATTTTAATATTTTTTATTTGTAATATTTATATATTTAAATTTGTATAGCTATATAATATTAACAAAAAAATAAATTTTTATATTTTCATCTAATAAGCTTCAGATTTATTTTAGTTTTTAGGTTTTAGTAAATATAATATATAATGTATTTTAAAATAAATAATAACTTGAATATAAGTTCAAAAAAAAACTATATATTAGATAGTATATATAAATATATATAAAAAACTTGTAACAGATTAAGGTTTGGCAAAAGTATATAATTAAAATAATTAAATAAATAATTTTTTAATAAATTATAAGTATAATATTTAGTATAATATTTTAAAACAGATTACTTAAATAAATAATTAAAAATTATATATATGACTAGTATTTTTATACAAAATAATTGTAATAGTTAATTTCAAATTATTAATAAAATATTATTGTAAAATACAACTTTTAAAAATAATAAAAAATAATAATAATTTAATTTATAATTAAAAATTTTATATATAACAATTTATATAACTAATATAAAACTAATTTTTTTTTAATATTAAGTACTTGCAACTTAGAATTTTATTAATAATATATTTTAGCTTTGTAATTATATTATAACAACTACAAGAGACAACTATAAAAAGAGTATAAAACTAGTTACTTATACAACTTTAGTTATTGTCTAATTTAAGTAGTCTGTCTAAAGATTCTATATTAGTTATTAAATCTAGAATCTATTTATAAGTTCTTTATTTAAATATTCTAATTATTATATCTATTCATTTATTAATTCTATTAATTGTTCTAGTTTTTACTAATGCAAATATATTATAATCATTAAGTTTTTAAAGCAGTTTACTTATATAAGAAAATTTTAACTTTATACTAAATCTATTTTTTTTATTTATTTATTTTTTTTGCTAAGGTCATACTTGTAGTGATACTTTATTGACTTTATATTGGGTTAGTTATTACAACTATTTTTACAGAGATGAGAATACAGCTAGTCACATGTGCAACTTTTGGTTGCCTATTTAAGTAGTCTGCCCTAAGGTTTTACACTAGATGCTGTATCTATAATCTACTAGAAGATTATTCATTTAAACTCTCTGATCATCTGCCCTGTCATATTGGAATCCCCAAACTAACCTCCTGTATATACCTATTCAGTATACTGTCTAAGCAGTATAGTACCTACCTTTTTTGTACTAATTCCCAGGCCGTTATACATTTCAGAGTACATCATCTGCCAGTAAGGCGCAGGAGGCCTCCCATTGTTAACTATCTATTCACTTTTAGAACACTAATACGGGCTACCCTTACAGAGTTCATCTAGACCCCAGTACTAACTTCATAGCATATTCCTAGTACTTTTAGTATACCCCTGCTTTGAACCCAGACTCTCAATCCAGATAGTCCAGAAGAACTGTGATCTGTTCTTGGTATATTGAGGCCGGCCCAATATCCTTTTTCTCCAGTCCAAAATCTGGTGGTCTGGTTGGTGATACCCCTCACCCAAGGTTCTTGTCTGCCTGAATCCTTTATATTGGTATCTATTTCTTAGGTCTAGCCTTTATAGTAGTACCATCGAAGATCCGTGTTACTTCTCTGCTCGGAATTTTCAAGTGGGCTTCAGCTTCCTAGTTCTACAGATTTACACGACCTAAGAACTTATTTTAGGTTTGCACTGCCCGGTACTGGTTTGCATTCCTCTGTGTAATAGGTTACACAAATGTCTCAGACCTGCCAGTCATGCTGGTGTGACCATAGTTACAGGTATCCTATCCCAACTGATCGACAAAATACCATCGCCATAATACCGTCTATATATTATATAGGTAATTATCTAAATTTTGCTATTGGTGAGTTTTGAACTCACAACCTACTACTTGGAGGTATGACAACTTATCTACTTCACTAAGTTGCCACACCTCTTATACTAAATCTATTAAAACCTTCTGTATCTTATACTTATAACTAACTAGTATTATTATAGTCAAAACTAATATTTATAATCAAAGTTAACTATTAAACTGTTATATATTTGTAAAGTTTATTTAAATTTAACTTTGTACTAAATTTATTAAAACCTTTTATATTTTATACTTATAATTAACTAATATCATTATAGTCAAAACCAACACTTATAATTCAAGCTAACCATTAAACTGTTATATATTTGTAAAGTTTATTTAAATTTTGATACCTATTTTTTTTGATATTTTTTCTATTATTTTTTACTAACTGCTACTCAGAATTAACAAAACTTTTTAAATTATTAATTCAGATAGTTTAATATAGTATATTTTTGTATTTTTTTTAATAATTTTAATGATCTAGTTGGTACATATACTTTTTTCACATACTTGTTATTTAGTTTATTTATTTAT